TAAATGGTAAAACTGATCTCCAACCAAAGTCCACCCAAACCTGACCACTCACCTCCCCTCTGAAGGGGAGACCTAATTTCCACACAGTAAACTTAAAAACAAAGGAGAGCATTTCAACATATCAAATGATTTGATATGTTGAATTACTACAGATAAAATTCATAAACTCATAAAAAAAAGAATCACACCAGGTCCAAACACACCTCGTTTATGAAAAATACCTTTATTACACTCACAGTTAAATAGGTTACATTCAGCACTGAACAAACACAAAAGCACTGACGGGAGAAGCTACAGCGACGTCAAATCAAGGATTTCCAAAATGAGTCTGCGTCCTAACTCGCTGGATTTCTTATTAAAACATTTAGTGTCACTTTGCTTTTAAAGTCTGAAATAAGGTTTCAGTATAAAGAGCTACTACTGTACACATGAATATGTTCAAGTGTCACTTTTTAAACTGACAAATATTTAGAGCATATTTACATTGACGGCTGTTCCTTTTAAAAGGTTCAGCAACTGTTTGGTGTCTGTGCTCGCCATTAAACCAATGATAAACATTATTTCATAAAATGAAAGCCACAACAGAAACCAGCAACACTGTAGTGGGAACAACAGTAATGTGTTATATATTGAATATTTTATGTGTAACTGGTCTGTCTTATTTGGCAGTGGTGTATTACATTGTAAAAATGGACCATCAAATGTTCAGTAGCATGTCTTTTCAGTAGGGTCATCTATTTTTTTCTATTACCAGTTGAGTCTTTTAAAAATTCTTATTAGCATCAAAAGTACAGTTTCTGTAGCTGTAGGTGTGTCTGTCACTTCTTAGGTTTCATGTATCAATCTGTATCCTGTTCATGTATCCTTATCAGGTCTTAAAATGACTTAAACACAACCTAAGACGAACACCAACATATGACATATTACACCGTGTCATTATTTACTGATAAAAATTGAAGCCAAACTGCAAAAGCAGTGTGTGTACCCTACTAAGTTGCTTTTAGGACCTAATTTAGGAGCAAAATGTTGCAGCAAAGGTTTTCTGGGCAACTCGTGTCTCACATCATTGTGGAGGAACTCGTCTTTACAGCGCTGCTGTTGTTCATTCATGCACAGCTCTCTTAAACCAACCACAGCGTTTGAGTTGAGTTGAGGTCTAGACTTTGGGCCACTGCAGTACCTTGATTTTTTTTGCTTCTTCAGCCAATCTGTTGGCGATTTGCTGCTGTGTGTGGGATCATTGTCCAGTTACATGACCCAGTTTGGGCAAAGCTTTAGCTGCGGGACACACGGCCGCATGTTTGACTCTAGAGCAGTTTGGTGTACAGAGGATTTCATGGTCGACTCAGTGACTGCAAGCTTCCCAAATCATCGTCCCTCCACCACCGTGCTGACAGTTGGTTTAAGGTGTTTGTGCTGATGTGCTGTTTGGTTTTCTCCAAATGTGCTGCTGCATATTATGACTAAACAAAGCAACTTAGAGGGAAGAAGTAGCCTCCTAGGAACCCTTCATAGTCGCACTTGTTCAGTCTTTTTTTAATTGATCTGACTTTGGGGTAAATTTGCTGGAATATTTCCTCCTGAGAAGTCTGGCAGCTGTCTTGAATGTTTTCCACTTTCTCGCTGTGGAATGATGTTGTGCTTTCTTTTTACCAGGACTGTAAGTTAAACTTAACTTTTTCAATCAGCTAGATATCTTAGCAAACATGAACCCAACAGTTTTAGTTCACGTGAAGCATATTGTTACCCACACCTGCCAAACTAATCCATGAAATAAACTGAACTCGAACTGTTTGTCAGTTTATTTAACCCAAGCTAAACTGAAACAAGCACATGAAACCAACCATCACTCATGATCATAGAAAAAGTACATTTCCCTATTCGTATCTACTACATGGAGTTATTACTCAAAGCTAATGCTCATTTCAGGAAATTGTCTGGGCCGATATATAACTTTATAAGTGATTTCCTGAGTGGACTGAACAGTGAAATTTACCCAGAAAGTCATAAAGCCGTGCTCACTGAGCCTGTAGCGCAGAAGCATTATGTGGTCACACAGCTGGTTACACATAATGAAAACAGGCCTGATGAAAATAAACTGTGCGATAAGGAGCCGCCAGCTGGTGCCACACAGACTTTAATAACAGTGATGAGTCTGACATGAGAAGCAAGGTTAGGGTGATGAAACAGGCTCAAACGTTAAGGAAATAATCCAACAGGCTCATGAGTCTGCTCTTGCCTGTGTAGCCCGCTAATGTTTTCTGGCGGTGCAGAGGTGTCGGCCCAGAGGCCAAAATAAAATAATCTGCTGTGAGGAGGTATTTAGCTGCAGAACCATCAGTATGTTTTATTAAA